CACACGAGACCCAAGCATAAAACTACGTCGTCTAAAGGCTCATAAGTCACTAAATACTCTCTTAAATATCCCCCAAAAGCATCACATTCAAAATACTTACCCTGAAGAGACTTCCTGAAAATCTAAAGCCATTACCTTCACCTTCTTGTTGCTGATATGCAAAATCCATAATGATATAGGAATGTCACAAGTCTTGTCATCCTCCAATGTAAACCTCAGTTTCTAGCCAAATACACATCCTGAAGATCTCCAATTATTACATGTAAATCTTGAATCCTTTAAAACAATTCTCGGGTGTCATCCACTTCACTCAGGTTTCAATTAAACTGATCAAACGAACCGAACGACATGTGCTCCATTAGCACTCCAACACCCCAGAAAGTAGCCCCACCTTGATGCAACCAAATAAATTCCTGCTCCATATACATTACATCCTTCACCACTAACAACTCAAGTCATTCCATGATTCTTTACACCCATAAAGCATAATACAACCCCTATCCAAAATTTCATTTATTCGAGTCATCCTCAATATCAACCTCTATAAGCCATACTGCTTCACCAGTATGCCTCAAACTGGAACCAACATAGCATATAACCATGCAATCAAACGATCAATAGCAGACTCCCCCACATGGCTCAAAGCCATAGATCAATCATACAATAGCTCACAATGCCTATACTCTATTACTGCCATAATACCATAGTGAGATTAAACTCAATCCTTCATAAGCTCGTGCATAAAACTATCTAGTACTTCAAATCTTGTGCAAATCTTGCATTCACCCTCGCAATAGTCAAGACAACTCCCATACATGATCCAAACTCAAACTACAATACATATATTTCACTAGTAAAAGAGGTCTTCCAACAAGCAACATAAGGATCACACAAACTTTAGAACACTTCGCAGAAGATAACCCACCTGTTTCGCCTCAAACTAACATCTATTTATACCCTTACACCGTCGTAAACATCACGCAATCACCAAATCTTCCTAAGTCTAAACTCATATCACGACATAAAATCTACCTCACTCCCCAACTAAACAACATGAAAAGATCCTTTAACATACCCCTAACTCAAGGCTATACATCAAATCAAGATGGAAATCAAGCATCAAATAGTTCTTTCTACCCTCAAGCAGACCCTTCTCGTCACATTCAAATCATATGAACACATCTCGCAGTCAAATCATACTCATCACGTAGCTATCCAATTATCGCTCCCACTAATAGGGACATTATCAGACATATAAATCCAAAAGCACATGCTCACACAATCAACACCACAGTGCTCAAGCTACAAGCAAAGCCCGGCCTCAAGTCCTCCAAACTGACACAACATCAAAACACAGAAATCACATCTTGCCCCTCGATCAGGGAATCATAAGTTGTCAATGCAAAACTGATACCGAGCGCTCATACGCGCATATGAACGCGTGGAAGGAGTTTCAAGAGTTACATTTAAGGCTGAATCACTGAGGCACGATAAGAATTCAAAAATGTGGGATATCTTAAAGGTTCTGCAGCCACTCGAAGATAAGTACAGACGTCTCCGTATCGATCCGCGAGACTCTACTAAACCTGCTCATAACTCGTGAGACCTATGTAACCTAGGCTCTGATACCAACTTGTCACGATCCCAAAACCGACTCGGTTATGATGGCGCCTATTATGGAACTAGGCCAGCCGACGCAAATCCAAAACCAATTAATATTTTTATTCTTAGGATAAAATCAAAGCTATTTAACATTAAACCTTTAAAAATATTTAAAACAAAACAACAGTGTGGATAGAAAGCCCGACATCGGGGCGTCACTAGTCGTGAGAAACTACTAACACCGTCTGACAACATTAAGACTAACAAGGCCAGAAAAATCATTAAATACAACTAAGGGGGATTGTGGAGGGAGGAAAGCAGGGCTACGATCGCCAGGCAGCTACCTTGCTAACTCCTATGAACCTGCCACTGAGTAATCAACACCCGCCACCGGGTTCAGAAATACCTGAAGCTGCACACAAGGTGCAGGGAGTAATGTGAGTAAGCCAACTCGGTAAGTAATAAAAGTAAATAGAAACTGAGCAGTAAGAAAACATATAATCCACATTGTAACACCACAATAAGGATAGTATGTTTCTAAAACAGTATATAAATCAAATTATCTCGTTAAAATTCCAATTTCAGTAAAAATCCTTTAAAAATGTCTTTCAATAATTTTTCAAACGAAGTGATAAAATAGTGAGTAAAAATAGTGAAAACATAATCAGCCCCTCGGGCAAAACTCACTCGTATATAGCCCCTCGGGCAACATAAATCACAAACAGCCCCTCGGCAAAACATGTATCATAAACCGCCCCTTGGGCATAGCATCAATCAGAACCAGCCCCTCGGGCTACCTTACAATCATTCGTAATCAGCCCCTCGGGCACAACATAATTCAAGATCATCCCCTTGGGCAACATCATATCACTCACTCTGGGTACCCGCGCTCACCAGGGGTGTTTAGACTCCGGAGGGGCTCCTACAGACCAAGCGCTATAATAAGCCATCTCGTGGCATAAATCAATCAGGCCCTTGGCCTCACAATATCATGAATCAGTAACAACCTGTTGTGGCGTGCAACCCAATCCCATAATATCCTCACAACATAGGCCATCGGCTTTACTCAGTCAGAAACCTCTCAAGCCACTAGGGCAAACATTAAAATAGGGTGTTAAGCCCAAAATATCATTTATAGTATCAAAACGGAGTAAATAAAGCTGAGTTATGGAATAAGTAAAACACAACATGACTGAGCACATATATTAAAATCAAAACAGTGAGGAATAGTAGTAAAGAGCCCCAAAAGGTCCAAACAACTTGGCACAAGGCCCAAATATGGCATTCAGCCCAAAACATAGTAATACTTTCCAAAGCACAGTAGTATCAAATAGTTTTTAGTCAAATATGCGACTTAATAGTCGTACGGGACAAACCATGTCACAATACCTAACGGTGCACGCCTCCACACTCGTCATCTAGCGTGTGCGTCACCTCAAAGTAGTGAAACATTGTGAAATCCGAGGTTTCATACCCTCAGGACAAGATTTATGTTCATTACTTACCTCAAGTTAGACAAAACTCTAACCCGCGATGCCCTTGCCTCTCCACTCGGCCTCAAATCGCCCCGAATCTATCCAAAATCAGAATCATATCATCAATACATGCTAAAGGAACAAAGCCCACGCGAAAACTATCAAATTAGATTAAAAAATCCAGAATTTGCTCAAATCCGGTCCCTAGGCCCACATCTCGGAATCCGATAAAAATTTAAAACTATAAATCTCATTCACTCACGAGTCTACCCATATCAAATTCACCAAAATCCGGCGTCAAATGGCCATGCAAATCCCTAAAATCGATTCTCCAATTCTCTTCCATTTTTCCCCAATCTTCACCCCAAATTCCCAAATTAAATGATAAAAATCAAGACACAATCATGGAATTTAACCAAATTTGAGTGAAGAACACTTACCTCAATCACTCCTCTAAAAATCCCCTCCAAAATCGCCTTCTCCCGAGCTCTCTTTTGAATTTTGGAATTATGAACTTAAACCCTAGTTTTTTTAAACTTAAACATTCTACCTAGACATTTCCTTAATCGCGATTGCGGAAACACCCTCGCAATCGCGAAGAACAACTTTGCTGCGTCAACATTTTACTCTACGCGACCGCGTTACTCCACACGCGAATGCGATGCAGTGGTTCCTCTGAATTCGCGATTGCGATTGACCCCACGCCAACACGAAGGGTAACACCAGCTTTCCTCTGCCGCCTTATTTCTTCTATGCGAACGCGGCTTGTCCCACGCGTTCGCGTTGCACAACCTGACTGAACTACGCGATCGCGTCCCATTCTCTACGATCGCGAAGAGTTAACCTAACTGGCCTCCCATTTTCCCTACTCGATCGCGAACCTCCTCCCACGATCGCGATGAAGAACACACCAGCTGCAGAACACCAGCGAACCAACAAACTCCTTAAGTCCAAAAATGACTCGTTGAGCATCCGAAATACACTCGAGGCCCTCGGGACCTTAACCAAACATGGCAACACATTCCATAACATCATTCAAACTTAGTCGAGCCTTTGAATCACTCAAAACAACATCAAAACACCAAATCAACCTCGAATTCAAGCTTAAGAATATCTAAATTTTCAAATTCCACAAACAACGCTGAAACCTATCAAACCTTGTCCGAATGACCTGAAATTTTGCACACATTTCCCAAATGACACTACGAACCTACTCCAACTTCCGAAATTCCATTCCGACCCCGATATCAAAATTTCCACTGCCGACTGAGAAATGCCAAATTTTCAATTTTGTCAATTCAAGCCTAATTCTTTCACATACCTCCAAATCATATTCCGGACGCGCCCCAAAGTCCAAAATCACCTAACGGAGCTAACCAAATCATAAAAATCCAAATCCGAGATCGAATACTAAAAAGTCAAAACTTGGTCAAACTTTTCAAATTTAAAACTTCAAGCAGAGAATTGTTCTTCCATATATGTTCCGATTAACCTGAAAACCAATACGACGATTTACACAAGTCATAATACATCATACGGGGCTAGTCATGCCCGAGAATTGGCCAGCGAAGTACAAATGCTCAAAACGGCTGGTCGAGTAGTTACGCATAATTGCAAGGAATTTTTTATACAATTTAGAACCAAAAAGATTATACATATACCAATTTTAATGTCACAAACCAAACAATTTAACAAAAAATAATTATTGCATTACAATCTCTGCACAACTAGTTAATTCCTACTAAGTTGTCCCTGCATAACTTGTTCCAAAACCAACAACCCCTATGGATATTGGAACCACTCCAAGCTCAACCTGCCTAACGATTTCCTGAGGTTGTTTACTTTTAACTTTGTATTATCTAACAAGTAGTATTTCATCGTAAAATATGAAGATAAAAAAAAACCGAAGTGTTAAGAGATAAATAAAAGCTTAAACAAAAACAGCATTTTCATTAAATACACTGAGTGTTGAAACTCCAAAGACCTCCCAAGTATATCATCTCCTTATTTAGGGATGCAACCTCCAATCATTAGAAAATGAAGTCATAGTACATTTCCACTGTGTGAGTAATTAAGCTCAGCTGGTGCTCTGGAACAAGCTCCTCATATCAATGTTAGCCACATTATATTCAGACTTTGTATGCCAAACAGTAAAGAAAAACAGAACAACTAAACCTAGAGCAGACCCTCAAGAATAGAACAATCTTTTGAAGGAGGGCTCGGCCCAACTTTGGGCGTCAACTCCTCGAGTTCCTTCCTCACTGAACCAAGCTCCTGGTTTAGTTGCCCAAGTGTGAACTGTGTTTCATCAATTTTGCGGGCAAGCGTATGTTGGTGCTGAATTAACTTCTCCATTTTCAAGACTTCATCAATTTGTGCTAAACGGGTTTCAATCCAGCTAATATCGATACCAATAAACTTCAAGTCCGCAAGATATTGCTTAATGACCTGGAACTGGTTCCTATTGTCCATGCTTCCTATTCTGGATTTCTCAAGCAAATCTACTAACGTGGCCAACATCTCCAAGTACACTGACTGCAGCGCACCAGTTATTGCTTTGAAGCCAGAGATAGTACTGGGGTAACGCATAATGACTCTACTGAGTATAGGAACATATTGTTGGGCCACTTGGTAACCTGCCCAAGAGACTTGCTCACTACCAAAACCAGATCCCTCAGTTGGAAGCTGCCTCGGGGTAGAATAAGTACACATCACTTGTAAGGTGTCAGTTGGCTGCAAGGTTGAAATCGTCGCAGAAGGTTCTGGTATAGGCTGCTGTGGATAGGTAGTGAAACTCTCCCTCTGGGGTTCTGGCCACCCCTCAAAATCTAAGACGAGGAGTAGTATATCAAAACACCTTGGATTATTTAACAAAAAATAATAATGGAATAGATTACAAAGGCATTTTGCATACTTTGGACAGTAGAAGCAACTCCTACGCAATTCCCATTTGACTCTGGTGTATTCTCTAGAAAGAGAGGGTGAGCAGCTAAGAAGATGTCACCGAATACATCACAATCAAGGACATCAACGGAGGCCTGGTTAGTGGATAGGCCGTTGGAAGCAATCTGAGCTAAATCTTGGTTTGATGGTTTCTCTCTATTTGGCTCAAGATATTTGCTCAAGCTTAAAATGAATCTGCTTTTCCTGGAAATATTACAAACAAGCAAATCTACGAACAGGCATTCAGTAATAAGGTATCTCCATTTGACAAATTGACATGTATGTTATACCGTGGCTGATAATAGACAGAAAAGAGACGTTTCGTGGCAAAAGCATGGGAGACCACTGCAAGCACTCCTTGAACGGTTTGACTTGAAACTGGTGATGAACCAATGTTGTGTCTTCGATGAGCTTGGCGTCTAACCCCAACACAAAGTTCACCATTTTCTCCCCTTGAAGCAGGATATAACAGATTTATAAGGTTAATATGAGAGATTTGGCTGGATTGGTATGCTTTATTCATAGAGGAAAAATCTCAACACATGACAATTGATTAGGAGACATATACAGTAAACAATTACCTTAAGAAGATAACTGAATCTCCAGCAACTAATCTCTTACTAGCAACAAATTTACTCCAACCTTTTGTAAGCAAATGTCTTCGAGGTTGGCCTGTGATGTTATTAGAAATGAATTTGTTGCGTACAAAAAATCGCAATGCAAAGTGTCAACTTGTTTATATAACTCTAGTGTTTGGTTATAAATCAAAAAAGGAAGAAAAATAGAGCCTCATACAGAAACTCGTGTGGTAACAGTACACTAAGTGTTCCGGTTTGCCTTCAACTCCATGAACTTTGCTCTAAAGTAAGGTGCGGAAGAAGTATTACCTCGAAATACATGACAAAATTGCCATTCGGAGCCATTAAGGTCTTTTGCTATCAATTCCTGGATTGGTTTCTGCTTGGTAATGTCCTAATTAAAGAACCGCACAGTGCAAGAAATTCAACTAAAAGAAACTGAATAATCTAAAGCAAAAAGTTTTTTGAAGATAAACATTACCAGGGGAGGAAAACATTTGATGGCATCTTCTCGTCGCACAGTGAGTCCCCAGTTACTATTGGTATCAGAAGCAGTCAAAACCTTGCAGAATGACTGAAACTGCGAATTAAGAGGCTGAGGAGACCAAGCATCAGGAGTCGTTTGGTCACTTTGCTGCAAGTAGTTGTGACTTAACAGTGAGACTTTAACTTTCATCTTCATATAAATTCTCTTAAAAGGTAATATAACAAAGTTCTCACATTTTCTTCTGGAAGTAAAGTAATGTGTGCGTAAACCTCATCAGTATCAGGTTCCACCTAAAAGGAAAAAGTAGTTGCCATAATCAGTTGCGCCCACATTCCATAAGCAAAAGGAAAAGAAAAAGCAATTTGGCAAACCCAAGGATGTATTATCTTTTTGTCCTAATGGAGCAGGACTAATGGTCATTCATGGTTTCATAAATCATAAATCAAGAGATCATAAGTTTTTTAGTTGTTCAATGAAAGAGTCTCCTCTTTCAAAGTCGAGATGAATTAACCAGCAAATATATACATTTACACAAGAACTTTGATCGCTTAAGTAGGCATGGGGGTTTTGTCAGACAGCTGCTATAAAAGATAGGAAAACAACTCCTGTTTGTACAATTGAGAGATGATTATACCACATTGGCTCACAAGGCAGATTTACTCTTGAGAAAAAAAAGGGAATGAGTAATGATCAACATACCATGAGCTGAATGTTAATGACCCTGCAGAGGATATCTGTAGGGAGGTCGAACAATGGTATTATCTGATCAGCTGATTCCTTCAACTATGTAAACAGGACGAAGAAATTGAAGGAGGAAATGAAGTTAATTCAGCCCTTGAAAAGAATAACTTGTTAAATTTAAGCAAAGAATAATAGGAAGACATTAAGAAGAGAAGTTACCAGCTCCATGTGATTCATTGGGAAATAGTAAACTCTCTCCCCAAGTTTGGGAAGATCCATTATGGGATCTGCACATGCTTTCCATAGCTCTTTATACATATAGTCACCTAGCACAGGATTATTTATACATATTATATGAATTTTTAGATACGAATAACGGTTTGAACTAAAGCTACACAACAACCCCAACACCAAAACCAACAAAAAGGAAATAGAAAAAATTAAAGGGACCCAAATAACATAAGTATAAGATTTAAAAATTAAAAGGAACAAAAAAAAAGGAAGGATAAAAATGGGACTTTACCTTCGACTAAGACATGGTTTTCCTGCTGATGATGTGATGATCCGATTTCACCATCCATAGCGTTCAATCAAATCAAGAAAATCCTGTTTCTCTTTGTGTAAGTTCCGTAAGTAGAAGTTTAGTAGAAAGCTCGGATTTTTCAATTGCCATAGCAGATTTATAAGCTGCAGGGTTTTGGCAGCTTCTGTTTGTGACATCTAAAAAATATTCTCAGTAGTTGCAAGATGCCCCACAGGAACACACACACACAAAAAGGAAGAAAACACTGCCCACGGAAGAGCACACAAAGTCAGATTCTTTAATTTAATGTCTACGTTTGATTCTTTTTTGGTGCTAATCTAATCATTTTACGACGCGGCCGAAAAAAGAATCCATGCGATTGAGGAAGAAGTTATTACTGCCACTTCAGAAAGGAAAGGCACTGTTCAGTATTTTCATGACTTGTCTGTCCACATAGATGTCGTTGATGTGTCATTTGAGATAAAATAAGCCAAGTAAAATTATTTGCTTAACCACGAGACAAAACAGGAAAAGATACAAGAGATTGGGAGGGCCAGGAACGGAGGGAAAAGAAAATTCTCAAATTAATAAAATTACAAGTGAAGTCATATTGTATCTTTTGTTGTCACAATATAAAATTATCCAACTAATAAATGTTTTTGTCCCTAACCCTCCACGCTATGAACATACTGCCTGCCTGCCTATGTGTGTGCGTGTGTTTGAGGGCGTGCGTCTCTCTGTGTGTGTATGACGGAAAGAAAAGGAGAGAGAAGGTGTATGCCCTTTCTTTTCCGTGTTGAATTCTACAAAGGTTTGTATTAACAACTTAGAAACTTCCGTCTCAATCTTTTATTGCTCAACTTAAACAAAAATATCATCTTTTTTATCTATCTTTCATATTGCCACTCGTAGACCTTCATGTTGACTTTAACTAATCTGAAAAACAAGAAAAGAAAAACAAATTGTCGGCCAACTTCGCGAATATTTTGACATACTAACTTTAAGAAAACCACATTTTGGCTAAAGACCGAAGTGAGCCTTGTATTGGTCTAAATTTGGCGACTTGGTAATGGTAGATAAACGGGGTCGATTACGGTATAATAGCGGGAAGCCGTCTTCGAGAGGACCGTTGTCAAGGACGAGCAGCTAGAGTAAAGAAATAACTGTAGGATAGGTTCAGAAATGGACACAAGGAATATTCCTTTGGATATTCCTTATTTTATATTTTTTAGGGTTTCTTGAAAATATCCCTTATAAATATGAAGAGATAGAGAACAAAAGATGGTCTTCACTTTTTGACAAGAGCATATTGTAAAGGTTGACTAGAAGAAATATACAAAAAGTTGTCTTGTTCAGTGATTATCCTATTGAAGCACATGTTGTTTAATCTTTGTTCACAAGATCCAAAGATTTCTTATCCATCTTCACCTCTCATTTTTTCACGTCGCTGACAGAAGAAAGAACCAACCAAATCATACAATAATTGGGTGGTAGATTCTTTTTTATTACATTTATTGTCAATATCTACATTTATTGCATGTTCATGTTACAATATTTATTGATAATCATTGACTACAAATCTGCTATTTAATGCTCTCAGACACTGTTCATCTTATCGACATCCTACAACATTTGATCTAGAATTTATTATATTTAACTAAGCTTCACCCTTCGTTTCATCATTAATTAGTTTAGCAAAGAGCTTAACACTTTTTGGTCTAACAATTTGGCGCAGTCGGTGGGGACTTTTTAGCTAAAATTTTAGTTTCTTCTAGATGATAAAAAAAAAAGGATAGCCATCTTTTCCTCGTTTGCACGAACTAACAAATGGCAGGGAAAGGAGATGAAAGACAGAAAGCAATAGTGGGTCTCACTATCAACATCTTAAACACCATCAACGAGGACAACAGAGAAGACGATAAGAATGTGACGCAGAGTGCTACACCCATGCGGAGTGACTCACCTCCCCCTCATGGAAGCGTAACCGCGTCACGTGAAAGGGGATATTCCACGTCCACAGCTGAGGAAGCGCCACCAATAGTAAAGAAATTACTAGAGGAGTGGCTGACAAGTACCCTAAATAACATACTCGACAAACCCGTTTAATGGGCGAATAGAAATGTCACGCCAGCAGACACCACAGCGGCCACCGGCGAACAACCCTCTCCCTCAACAAGTAACACTCCCACCGTTGTTGATGCAGGTAATGATGCACTTGCAGTCATTCTAAAGAAAATGGAAGAAATGGAAAACGAGAACAAAGCACTCCGCGACCAGATGAGGGAACCCCAAGAAAGGGTCTATAAGATACCGGGCGCCACAAAATTGCTACCAAAATAGGATGTCGACCGATTCGTTAAAAGACCGTATAGCAAGGAGGCAGCCCCACATGCCATACCCAAGACCTTCAAAATGCCACCGTATTTGAAGATATATGATGGCACCACAGACCCCGAAGATCACATCATTCATTACGTCACAGCGGTGAAAGGCAACAACCTTTCAAAGGAGCAGGTACCATCAATGTTACTAGAAACGTTTGGCGAGATTCTAACGGGGGTGAGCCTTAACCTGGTACTCACAATTACCAGCACGATCAATAACAACGTTCGAAAAAATGGCTGACAAGTTCGTCACCGCCCATGTAGGGGCTAAGAAGGCAGAGGCTAGGGTGAACGATATATTCACTGTTAGGAAATCGCCTAGCGAGGGACTCAAGGACTTCCTCGCTCGGTTTAACAGGGTAAAAATGAGCTTACCAAACGTATTAGAAGGGATGTCGGTAGAAGTTTTCCAAAATGGGTTGAACAGGAATGGGTCGAGAGCGACCAAAAATTTTTTAAGTAGGCTCATGAAGTACCCCCTACCACTTGGAAATAAATTCACAATGCCTACTACGCTGAGGTGAGAGCAGACGAGGATAACCTTAACGGTCCAACCCAATGGTTAACGTCGGTCCAAACAGATCCGAGGAAAGACCATCGTAATGACAGTCAAAGGGATCAGTCAGGCCCATGCCTCAACCTAGATAGGCATCAACCCTATGTCAGAATAGCCATTCCACCATCTCCTCGACATACAGAAGGGTCGTCCAGGCCATATACAGGGACTCAGCAAATTGAAAGAGATATGCCTCCACTCTTACCTGCTCAAATTTTTGTGTTTCCCCTTCAGAAATAGTGTACGCACTAGAGAAGCTTGGCACAAAGGTGAAGTGGCCGCAAAAAATGAAGTCCAACCCAAGTACCCAAAAGTCGAATGTCCTCTATGAATTTCACCACGAGCGAGGTCACAAAACTGAGGACTGCATAGCCCTGCAACAAGAAGTAGTGAGCATGTTAAACCAAGGGCACATGAGGGAGCTGATGAGCGACCGAGGACGAGCCAACTTCGGCCGCGGAAGAGAACAACACCAAGGCCCTCCAAAGCCACCCTCCCCCGCCCGCACCATCCAAATGATCATCAGCGGGGACGATGAAGCAGCAATCAACCACGTGTACCACCACACATAAACTGAAGCGGTCGGTCACCCATGAACGATATGATGACCTCGAAGACAGTATCATCTTCGATAAGTCAGATACCCACGGTTTTACCTTTCCTCACTTTGATGCTCTCGTCATTACTTTACGTATTTTGGATATTGATGTAAAAAGAATAAGGGTAGACGATGGTAGCGGCACGTGTATTATCCACCCCCTAGTTCTTACGCAAATGAGACTCGAGGACAAGATAGTGCCACGTTGCATAACACTAACAGGTTTCAACAATGCAATTGAGCGAACTTCGGGGGAGATAACGCTACTCGTTCTGGTCGGGGGCATCACTCTAGAAACGATGTTCCATGTCACGAACCAAGACACAACTTATAACACCATCATAGAGCGACCATGGATATACGCCATGAGGGACATCCCATCCAGCCTGTATCAAGTAATCAAGTTCCCTACTCCTTTGGGGATATTCAGCATCCGAGGCAAACAACGCACATCCCAAGAATGCTATCGCATCGCTCAGGATTGTACATACACTCAACAGTTAACAGAAACAGACTCAGAAGCATAGCAATTACCAAAATCGGGGACCAAACTTGACGCACCAAAAGACGTCATTAGGGACCCCAACATTGTGGAAGCCGTAGGGTCAATGATAGAAGACCTCAATCCCATCCAACTAGACAATAGCTACAATAACAAAAAGGCTTACATCGGTCATAAACTCTCAAAACCAGGTAATTTTCATAAAATTTTAATTGACAACGCCGATTTGTTTGCTTTCTCCCATACAGATATGCCAGGTATTTCAAAAGACGTTGCCACACACAAGTTAAACGTCAACCCACTCTACCTTCTAATACAACAAGTAAGACAAAAATTCAATGCGACAATCAACGAGGTCGTCAGCGATGAGGTGGATAAGCTACTCACCAACGGTTCCATCCGAGAATCAAAATACCCCAATGGGTCGCCAATATGGTTATGGTAAAAAAGAAAAATGGGAAGTGGCGGATGTGCGTGGATTTCACTGACCTAAAAAAGGCATGTCCGAAAGACTCCTTTCCGTTGCCTCATATCGATCAGCTCATCGATGCAACAACATGGCACGAGTTGTTGTGTTTCTTGGATGCCTACTCAGGTTAAAACCAAATCCTCATGGAGGAGGAGGACTAGGAAAAAACTACTTTTATCACCCATTAGGGAACGTAGTGTTACAGAGTCATGCCATTCGGGTTAAGAAAAGCATGGGCGACTTATCAAAGGTTGGTTACCAAGATGTTCAAGGATCAACTCGGCAAAACAATGGAAGTTTACATCGAAGAAATGTTGGTCAAGTCAAAAAAGAAGGAAGATCACATCGACCTCCTGAAAGAAGCATTTGGTATACTAAGGCAGTACGACATGAAACTAAACCCCGAAAAATGCGCATTCGGCGTAACTTCGGGCAAATTCCTCGGCTTTATGGTATCACAAAGAGACGTCGAGATCAACCCCGACCAAATCAAAGCCATTAAGGGAATACCTGGAGTATTAACCAGCAAGAAACAAGTGCAAAAGCTAACATGCCATATAGCCGCCCTGTCGAGGTTCATCTCGCGATCCTCTGACAGATGCCACAAATTCTTCAACGTGCTCAAAAAGGACAACAGGCTCCAATGGAATTTAGAATGCATCGAGGCCTTAAGAGAACTAAAAGCATACTTGTCCTCGCCATCGCTAATCGCCAAAGCAGAACCTGGCAAATGCCTCCTGATATACTTGGCAAGTGTGGTGTTGGTTCGTGAAAATAAAGGTATGCAATCTCCAATCTATTACATTAGCAAAACCCCGGTCGACGCCGAAACAAGGTACCCCCACCTCAAAAAATTGGCCTTAGCATTGGTTATAGCTTTACGGAAGCTTAGACCCTATTTTCAATGCCACCCCATATCGGTGGTGACAACCTTCCACCTACGAAGCATCCTACATAAACCTGAGATGTCAGGGAGATTAACCAAGTGGGCCATAGAATTGAGCGAGCACGATATAACATATCAGCCGCGAACAACGATAAAATTGTAGGTACTTTCTGACTTCGTCGCCGATTTCAGTGCCAAAATAATGCCCGAGGTCGAGCAGGAAACTTCTCGTACCTCCCCCAGGCTAACTGCCCTATGGGTCCTAAGATGGCGCATCCAACGCGTCAAGATCTGGACTAGGACTCGTACTCGAGGTCCCAATAGGCGAAGTCATCTGCCAAACCATATTGTGCCCCGACATGACTAACAATG